CCCCCCCCCCCCCCACACACACACACACACACACACTCAAGGGATGGCTCATGACATCCCAAAGACAAGCTGCATTCAACTTGGGTGGGAGGCAGGACAAAACAGGACGAGTACACACAGGACCAAAAGAACAAAAAGCCAGCAGGAATAAACCCTGGGAAACACAAAACACAAAGACCACGGACCACGTCCCAGAGTCAAGGTGGGAGGTCAGGAGACCATGCAGGGCAGGATCAGTACTCAGGAGGGCAACCAGGTGACCATCCTTGATGAAGCAAGAGATCAGGGGGGTGGCAAGGAAACCATCCACCCTCAGGCAAGGGTTTCAGTGGGTGATCAGGGGACCGTCCCTTCCCAGGTAGTAGAGGAGTCCATCTCTGCCTGCCTGGACTCAGGTAGATGAGGACCTCCAGAGCCAAACCAGGGGTGAGGAACTTCCGCAGGCGGGTCGGGAACGAAGACCACAGGCAAGCCCAGAGCGAGGACCTCTAGAGACAAGCCGGGAGCGAGGACCTCCAGAGACGAGCCGGGAGCGGAGACGTCGAATGACTGACCATGGGTGCTACAAGGCGGGGACCCTGAGCTCTCTGCAGACCGAAGATCTTCTGCGGTAGACTCAGGAGCGAGGACCTCAGGAGACAAGCCAGGAGCGAGGATCTCCGGAGACGAGCCAGGAGCGAGGACCTCCAGAGATGAGCCAGGAGCGAGGATGTTAGCCGAAGGACTAGCTGGAGAACCAGGGACCAGAGACAGGGCTGCAGCTGGAGAACCAGGGACCAGAGACGGGACTGCAGCTGGGGAGCCAGGGATCGGGGCTGCAGCTGGGGAACCAGGGACCAGAGCTGCAGCCGGTGGAGATGGGGCCAGAGCTGCAGGGACAGAGTCCGGAGCTGCAGCCGCAGGAGATGGGGCCAGGGCTGCTGCAGCAGGTGTCAGAGAAGGAGCTGCAGCAGGAGATGGAAGACTGTCCTCCTGGATCTCCTCGCAGCTGGGCGGACCAAGATACATCGCCACCAGAGAAGCCTGCCACCATTCCAGCTCCTCCAATGAGGGAGGGCTGGACTGCTCCTCTGGCAAGTGTGGGCATGGGTTCCTCTCCCCCAGCAAACTTCCCCCTCGTTTCTCCAGCGAGCGAGAACCGGACTGCTCCTCTCGTGGACACGGGTTCCTCCCCCCTGCGAAATCTTCCACCATTCAACCGGCAACCGAGGGCTGGGCTTCCTTCTCGCCTGTGAAGCTCTCTCCTCCATGCACTAGATTCGGGGAGGACCAGCAGTTCGCCCCCTCTCTCAGACGATCGTGTGGGACAGCCAGGAGGAGAACGAGGAGGAGGTGGACAGCGGGTTGCAGCAGCGTGACGAGCAGATGAGGAGGAGTGAGACGGAGAGGCTCAGGACCCGGGTTTAATGGCCAGGCGGGTCCCGAAAAACGGATTCTTCTTTCTCTCCTCCTTTTCTCTGTCTCGTTGGATGGTTTTATCCACCTCACAGGCCAAAAACTCGAACAAAGTTATCATCTTCTTGCTGGGTTCAGTAATGGTCTCTGGATTCTGTCAGGATCTGCCATCAGGAGTGTTGAACCCAAGTGCAGGAAGATGACAAGGAGGCTTGAGGTAAAAAGATCAAAATATTTATTCTCAAAAAACAAAATCAAAAGGCTGACAGGGCAACCACTTACTGGTACTGAGAACAGATCAGAGCAACATGACGGGAGGCCAACCAAGACACCATTGAAGGACAATCTGGAGACAAAGACAAGTGGATAAACTGGATATATACACAGACACTGATTGGGACAATGACAGACACCTGCAGTGATTAACATGAGACACAGGTGAGACAGGGGCTGAACACAAGGAGGAAAAACAGAGCTGAACAGGAAATGTGAGGAAACAGACAGAGACAGGACAAAACCCCCAAAACCC